GCGTCCACACTGATGCTTTGAGGACGCTTCTCCGTCCACCATATTTCTGACCGTCCCTCCCTAACTCATGCCAGGGTCCCGGGCCCCTGGGGCTTTGCCTTGGGCGACTCCGGGCTGTGCTTCCTCCCTCCCCAGCCAGCCCGCAATGCGGCCACGGCTGCCACCCCCTGGAGGGAGCCGCCAAGGCCCGTGCGCGTGTGAAGGGGAAGCCACTGTTTCTGGCAGGTGGGCCTCGGGCAGCAGACGGTGAAGCTGGTGTGCACCAACCGCAGGAAGCAGTTCCTGCTGGACGCGGCCGACGGGGCCCTGGCCGAGTGAGTGACGCGCCCCCCGCCCCTCCCCGTTTGCTTGGGACTGGAGAGCCGCTTGGACTCCCCAGCCTTGCGCAGTAGGATACAAAGAAGTGGCGAACAGATGTGTTCCCTCCGGAACCTGCGGGGGGTGTACATGCACACTGACGGACTCGTGTCCTCAGCTCGGGGGACCCGAGACCCTAGGTGGCCGCCAAGGAGGAAGGGGGCTGGCATGAGTTACTAACAGGAGAGAAACGGGGGGCCACAGGAGCGCCTGGGTGGCCCAGTCATCAAGCGTGTGCTTTTGGCTCAGGTCATGGTCCCAGGGTCCTGGGATCGAGCCCCGCTTCGGGCTCCCTGCTCGGCGGGAGGCCTGCTTCTCCCTCTCCCACTCCCCCTGCTTGTGTTCCCTCTCTCGCTGTGTCTCTGTCAAATAAATAAAATTTTTAAAAAAAGAAAAAAGAAACGGGGGCCACAGAGTGCGTACAGAAATGACTCGTAATAAGATGGTGTCATTATCCTGACTCGGGTCCCATCCGCACCAGTGTATCTGGTCCGCCCTCACCGGCGACCCCAGGCCCCCCGGCGCCACTGGGAATGGCTCGCTCGGCCTGCTGCATGTCACTGCCCCACCTGCTGCTCTGAGCTCCCTCCCCGAAGTTTCTGTGACCCCCCTCCAGGCCAGGATCCCGTCCAGTTGAGGGGTGGTCCCCACCGGGCCTCTGACAGCAAACCCCATTCCCTGTGCAGGTTTTTCTTGGCTTCTTTGAAGTCCGCCATGATCAGAGGCTGCCGGGAACCACCTTACCCCAGTGTCCTGACTGATGCCACCATGGAGAAGCTAGCGCTGGCCAAATTTGTGGCCCAGGAGTCTAAGTGTGAGGTAAGTGCCAGGGGTGGAGGGGAGGGGTCGTCCCCGAGAGGCCAGCTGTGGTGTCCAGGTGAGGTCAGGTGGGGCAAATAGAGGTCTTTAGCTCTTGTCCGTCCCCCACCCGGGAGGGGCTCTCCTACCCCTGGGGCGTGTCCTTGCTGCCTCAGTGGCCATTCCTGGTGCTGGGCCATCGGTGAGCCGGGCCCAGACCTCACCGCTCTGTCTGCTGCCCCTCCCAGGCCACTGCTGTTACCGTGCACTTCTATGGGCTCGTCCACTGGGAGGACCCCATGGATGAGTCCCTGGGTCCCATCCCCTGCCACTGCTCACCCCCTGAGGGCACCATCACCAAAGAAGGCATGCTGCATTACAAGGCAGGCACCTCCTACTTGGGCAAAGAGCACTGGAAGACTTGCTTCGTGGTACTCAGGTGGGCACCCCCGCAGCACTGGCCTCAGGCTCAGCCTGGAGCTTGTTGGGCCGGCCATTGAGGAGAGAAGCCCGAGGGGGCCTCCGCCCACCCCCACAAGGGTTCTAGAGTCGACCTACCTGGGGATATTAGAGCTTATGTGTAAAGCCAGCCATCTTCGGGGCCTAAGGAACTCTGGGGCATCAGGTGTAGGTCTGGGCTGGGCTGCGGCCAAGCCTCTCACTGTCCCGGGTCTGCTGAGGGGGTAGCGTGCCCTCCTACGCCTCTGGTTCCTTCTTCACCCTCCGTTTCACAGAAGACAGGCCCCTTGGCCTCTGGGGCATCAGGCGCCAGCTTGCGGGGGGTCCCTGGGATCTGGGCTCCACCTGGCCCCCAGTTCCTGAGACAGACCTCACCCCTGCTATGTTGTGCCCCTGCAGCAACGGGATCCTCTATCAGTATCCCGACCGCACTGATGTCACCCCCCTGATCTCGGTGAACATGGGGTGAGTGACCTGGCGATGGGGGGCTGGGCAGGTGTGGGGCCTGGTATCGCCGCCCGAAGGTGGGGACTCTGGCTGAGCCTGCGGCGCAGGGCTCCTATCCTCCCTGGCTTGAGCTGACACCCCCTCTTGTGCATCAGTTCAGCCCACCCACTCAGCCCCCACCCCCACCCCACCCCCCCCCCGGTCCGGCAGCCCTGATTGGTACCCAGGCATCTTCTGAGCTCTGAGGGCTAAAGCAAGGGGAGGAGGGACAGCTTCCTGTCAGGGAAGCAAGAGGAACTCCTTGCCAGGAAAGGATATGGTCAGGCCAGGGAGGGCGTCCCTCCCCTGGGAAGCTCCCGACCTGACAGAAGACGGACACACACATTCTTGGGGACAACCTCGGGCCCAGAGAGGGAGTGTGAATGAATGTGCCCTGGTCCTGAGAGGGCCAGAGCTAGGAGCCCATTCTCACCCCTTGCCCGGCCAGGCTAACGTAGCTGGAAGGGTCTTGGCAATTCTGGAGACAGAAGTTGTTCCACAGAAGGGGGTGGGCCTGGCCGGCCGCTGTAAGCCTCTCCCGAGAGCCCGAGGGGTCCACACCACCTTCTGGTGTCCTCCCACCTCCTGGACCGTGGGTGCAGGCCCGCCGTGTCCGCCTGCCTCGAGCCGCCCCCGCCTGCTCCTTGCCCCTCTCTCACTCTCCTCCTCCGGCCCAGGGGGGAGCAGTGCGGTGGCTGTCGGAGGGCCAGCAGCACGGATCGGCCCCACGCCTTCCAGGTCATCCTCGCCGGCCGGCCGTGCCTGGAGCTGAGCGCCGACAGCGAGGCCGCCATGGCCGACTGGATGCAGCACCTCTGCCAGGCTGTGTCCAAAGGGGTGAGCGCCCCGGGCCTGCGCCGTCCATCCGGCTGCCTGGCCCCGTTCAGGCTCCCCAGGGGCCCTTCCCCAAACCCACATGCTCGGGGAGCAGCCCACGAGGACCAGGACGGGGGCGTCCAGGGGCGGGCCCGAGAGCTCAGGGCCACCGTCACCGCTGTCCCCACGTCCGCTGTCCCCACGTCTGACGGCTGGCCGGGCCAGAGCGGGGGGTTCCGGTGCTGGCCAGCCCGGGAGAGCGCCAGCTTGCCTCTCCCCTCCCCTCTGCCAATGCCCTTCAGGTCATCCCCCAGGGGGTAACTCCGAGCCCCTGCATCCCCTGCTGCCTAGTGATCACCGACGACCGCCTCTTCACGTGCCACGAGGACTGCCAGACCAGCTTCTTCCGCTCCCTGGGCACGGCCAAGCTGGCCGACATCAGTGCTGTGGCCACTGAACCGGACAAGGAGTACTGTGTCTTGGTGAGCTGGGTGGGGGCGTGGGGGGGAGAGCAGCCCCTGCAGAAGGGGCGCTGCATCTGCTCACCTGGGGACCCGCTTTCCCCAGGAGTTTTCCCAGGACAGCCAGCAGCCCCTCCCACCCTGGGTCATCTACTTGAGCTGCACATCTGAACTGGACCGATTCCTGTGTGCACTGAGCTCGGGGTGGAAAACCATCTACCAGGTACCTGGCCGCCCAGGGCCCCGAGGAGTGAATGGAGCCACTGTCTGGGGAAGGGAGCCCTGCGTGGTACAGAGGCTGGAGTCAGGGGCCTGGGGACAGCGCCATACCAGCAGCTCCGTGCACCTGAGGCTACAGCTGATAGTCGAGCCCAGGAAACGCCGCTCCTGACCTTGGTCCCATGGTGCGGGGGTGACTCCGGGGTTCCCACGGCTCCCCGGAAGAGCGGGGTCCCGGCCGCAGCCCTCACAGATTCCCTCCGTACCCCCACACAGGTGGACCTCCCCCACAAGGCCATCCAGGAAGCCTCCCACAAGAAGTTCGAGGATGCCCTGAGCCTCATCCACAGTGCCTGGCAGCGGAGTGACAGCCTCTGCCGGGGCAGAGCCTCCCGGGACCCCTGGTGCTGAGGCAGAGCCGGCCAGCACCCCGGGGGCCGAGAGAGGCCTGCCGAGCAGCACCCGCTGTCCTCGCTCCGGGCCAGGCTTCCAACCGTGTTCACAGCCCACTCCCGGGACAGAAGCACCGGGTCGGGGCTCGAGACAGGGTCTCTCCCCTCCCAGGGATCCAGAACGGGTGCTCCACGCTCTCGGGCATCCCACCCGGCCAGTGGTGACCGGAGGGCGCTGGGGCAGAGGGTCTGAGCCCTATGGGCTCTGCGTACACACGGCACATGCAGATGCAAGTGCCTCTCTTCAGGGTAGCGATGAGAGTCATACCAACTCTGAGGGGAGCAGAAGGACTGAGAGGGCAGGAGTCCCCTCTTCCTCTCCTGGGTCAGGGCTCCGGACCGAGGCCCGGCCATCCTCGTTCACTTTTGACCACTCAGCTGGCCGTGCAGGGAACCTGGACGCTCAGGCCTCCATGCATGCTCCCTCCTCACCAACTCCATCCCCAGGCACACTGCTGTCTGCCTTGCGAAGGCCCACCGCTGGGGACCTGGCCGGGGGGTGGGGGGGCCGGGGGGGGAGGCTGGGCGGCCCCTCCCTGGCTGCTCAGAGGCCCTGCATGTCCTCGGCCCCTGCCTCTCCCCAAACCGCAGTGCCCAGCGGACCCAGGAGGACCCGGGAGGCAGGCCATCTCCTTCTGCCGGGAGCAAAGGGGAGGGAGGAGGGCTTGGAGAGGAGCAGAGCCCCCCAGACTGGCGTCCTGGAGTGTGCCTCCTGACCATCCCCTGCTTGGCTGGAGTCGGGCCCTCTGGGGGAAGAGGTCAGATGGTCTGGGTTTTGTTTTTTTTTAAATAAAATAGACATGTTATATTGCCAAGACTTGTCACGGGCCCTTTGTGACCAGGCTGGAGGTGGGGATCCCAGCCCCCCTCTAAAGCCCCTCGGCCATTCATTCCCTGATTTTCTTCCATCAGCTGCGCAGTGCTGACACTGGACGCCCGGTCACCCACTGCCCCCGTGCTGCTCTCTGGAGCTCAGGCCCTGAGGGTTTCTTGGCCTGACCTTTGCTCTCCCTCCTATTTCCTACAGTGGCCAGGGGAGGGGAAGCCACCCCTCTTAGTCCCAGGGCCTGTCTGCACGGCCAGGGCAAGGCAGTCCACGGCCAGCCTCCCCAGCTCTGGGGGCAAGGGCCAGCCATTTGGGATAAACTCAGGAGAGTCCAAGCTGTCCCCAGACTTCTTGTTGAGCTGCTGCCCTGGGGCCTGGCCAGAGGGTGCTGCCAGGCTTACCAGGCCCAGGCGGGGAAGGGGAAGGTGCCCTGAGGCGCTCAAGCACCCCGCACTGCCACCTCCAGGCCCTCACACCTGGGAGGACAGGGGTGCATGCTGGGAAGGGTGGGCATGGAGGCTATCGAGGTGGGTTCCAGGCAGGGTGGCTCTGCCTCTGGTTCTGACTAGGACTTGGGTGATGCAGGCTGTCTGTGGCAGGAGAGGGCTGCCCTGGGGACAGAGGCCAAGGTGGGCAGGGTGGTGCTGGCTCCCAGGAGTGTGAGGTCCCTTCTGACAAAGGGCCATTTCCATGCCAGGGCCTCTCCTCTGGAAACCTACAGCCCAGAAGGGGCTCCCACCAGAAGGGGGGGCAGGACGGGGGGCAAGTCCACATGCGGTGAGTGACCAAAGCCACAGGCCACTCCTTGAGACACATGGCTCAAGGGCCCTGAAGTCCTGGGAGGCAGGGACGGGGTGAAAGGAGCCAGAAGTGGGGGCGGGTGGGGGTGGGGAATGTGGACCATCTTTTACTGGGTGAAGCCCTGTGCCGGGCATGTTCTTCACACATCTCTAGTCCTCCAAAAATCCTCTGAGGTAGGTACTGATATTCCCATTTTACAAACAGACTGAAGCTACGAGAGAGGAAGTGATTGTCCAGGGTCACACATGATAGATGGCAGAACCTGGGATTCAAAATCAGTTCCACAGGGCTCGAGAAGCCCTTCGCCCCCTCTGCTCTCCCTCACAGTGGGACCATAGACCATGGGAGCCAGACTGGAAGACCGAGGCCGAGAAAGGGGAGCACAAGGACGGCGCAGGGTGGTTGTGGACAGCTGCTGCATTGCCTGGGCACGCGGTTTCAGGAGGTTTCAGGAGCCTCCCCGGGCGGTTGCCCCTGTGCCCGGGGCTCTGAGCTGCCACAGGACTGGCTAGACCAGAGGTGGGGCCGGGGCCACCAGCCCTTTGCCCCAGGGCCAGAGGGAGGGCGGGAAGACCAAGAAAGCAGGAGGAGGTGTCTCAGCTGATTGGCAGCTTCTCCCCGCCCCCCAATCTCCAGCCTGCCCCAGGTGACCTTTTCCCCAGATCCCAGGGTCCAGGCACACCCCTGCCGGGAGGTGCGGAGAACAGCGACAGCTGGGATTGGTCAGAGCCAGCGGGGGCGTGTCCCAGGCTCGGCCAGCCCGGGTGGCTGAGCAGAGCAGGTGGACTCCCGAGATAGACCAGGAGCCACCCGGCCTACCGGACTGGGACCTCTGCCCTCCAGGCATGGCCCCAGGCCCCCTTGGTCCCCAGCCCTGTGGCCGTGCAGGGGTGTGGACAGCCTAAGTGCCACCACCCCAGGGCCTGTGCCCATGTCCCTGACCCGGGCACAGCCGGCCTCAGGAACAGAGGCCATGGAGACGGTTGCCCCAGCTGTGGACCTGGTGCTGGGCGCCTCGGCCTGTTGCCTGGCCTGCGTCTTCACCAACCCCCTAGAGGTGGTGAAGACGAGGCTGCAGCTGCAGGGGGAGCTGCAGGCCCGCGGCACCTACCCACGGCCCTACAGGGGCTTTTTGGCCTCCGCGGCAGCTGTGGTCCGTGCAGACGGGCTGTGTGGCCTGCAGAAGGGGCTGGCCGCCGGCCTCCTTTACCAGGGCCTGATGAATGGCGTCCGCTTCTACTGCTACAGCCTGGCGGGCCAGGCTGGCCTCACCCAGCAGCCTGGTGGCACCGTGGTTGCGGGCGCCGTGGCTGGGGCACTGGGAGCCTTTGTGGGGAGCCCTGCTTACTTGGTGAGTGCCTCGTCTCCATCCTCCACCACCCCATGACCCATGACCCAGCTCCCTCGGGGGCTCTGGAGCCTTCCAGGCTGACTCTGGTACCAGGTGGGGTGGGGCAGGCTGGGTGGGGCCACTCCGGGAACATCCCTGCGCGGGGATTGGAATCCGCCCCTGGTCCAAAGCACCGGAGTCTTGCCCCGATGCTCCTTCTCCTGGGGTCCCTGCTCCACTGGTCCTGGGCCGGAGGGCGGGGGGGCAGAGGGTGGCAGGACCGGTGCTGGCTCAAACCCAGCGTGGTGGCCCGTCTTCCTGTGTGGCTGAGCAAGTTAAGAATAAGTGAGGCCCCCACGTCCTAGGCTGGATGCCGAATAGTCATGATCCCACATAGTCAGAACAGCTTGTCCAGCGGGAGCAGAGAGGCCGGGAGAAGGTCAAATGCAGACCCAAGCCGACTTCAGAACCCCCCCAACCCTATTCCCCACGCCCCCTAAGCTGGGGGTGTGGGCTCCTGGAGGTCTGGACGTCGGGGTACAGCTCGCCCAGTCCCTCTGTCACATCTGCTCTCACAGGTCAAAACGCAGCTGCAGGCCCAGACGGTGGCCGCGATGGCCGTGGGGCACCAGCACCATCACCAGGTAGGAACTGTCACTCCCCAGAGGCCCCTGGGCCGGGTGGGCTGGCGGGGGCTGCCCAGTGACCCGGTGCCTTTCTTCTCCCCCACAGAGTGTTCTGGGTGCCTTGGAGACCGTCTGGCGGCAGCAGGGCCTGGCAGGGCTGTGGCGGGGCGTGGGTGGGGCCGTGCCCAGAGTCATGGTCGGCTCAGCGGCCCAGCTGGCCACCTTTGCCTCTGCCAAGGCCTGGGTGCAGGAGCAGCAGGTGAGCCAGGGACACCTGTGCCTGCCCACGGACACAACAAAGTCAGGGCCATCTGCCTCCTTCCTCCCTGTGCGGGCCCTCATCACACCCCGACATCTCCAGCCGGACCCCCACCTAGGGAAGCCCAGGGGGAGGGGATGGACGGGGCCCCCGAAGAAAGCTGAGGACCCCGGCTCTGCCCCTGTGCCTAGCAGGGGTGGGGGCCGGCAGCGAGCCCTGACGCTGTGAAGGAGCTGGGCCGGGGCGATGGCTGGAGGGGCCTGGTCTGCCCCCTTACCCCCAGCTCTTCCAGCCCCCAAGTGCCGGGAGGGGAAGGTGGGCACCTGCAGGGGTCAGAGTCTGTCCCGTCCCCACAGTGGCTCCCGGAAGACAGCTGGCTGGTAGCCTTGGCTGGAGGCATGATCAGCAGCGTCGCCGTGGCTGCCGTCATGACCCCCTTCGACGTGGTCAGCACCCGGCTCTACAATCAGCCCGTGGACGGAACTGGCAGAGTGAGCGGGGGAGGGTGCGGGGGGATGTGGGGAGCTGGAGAGCCCAGCCCAGCACACACACACACACAGAGCCAGAGACATGCAGACGTGACACACACGCACACATTGGTTCGGCTTGTTTGCTGAGCACCCATGTCCCGGGCATGGGCTAAGCATGTTCACGCCTAGATTTTGTTCTAGCCTCACAACCACCTTCATTCTCCTGATGAGGAAACGGAAGGTCAGGGAGATCTAGTGACGTGCCTGAGGTCACCCAGCTGCTAAGTGCAGGAGCCGGGCCGGGAATCCAGGCTGGACCCACGGCCCGGCAGACACACACAGGCCAGCCCGTACCCTGGCGCGGGTTGTGCTCAACACAAAGGTGCCCTCCAAAGGCTGAGCTCGGGGCGAAATCCACTCGTGTGCCACTAGCCAAAGCTCGGCCCCCGGGGCATGGGCTGTGGCTGCCTGGAGGAAGAGGTCTCTTCGTAAATGTCACAGCCTACAGGGCCACCTTTCTGTAAGTTGCCAGCCTGGGGAGCGTCTGTCTGCTGACTTGCCGCAGAAGCCCCTACACACGGACACACCGGCTTGTGGTAGCCAGGGCTCCACGACCCCCACCGTGACCTCCGCCCTGTGTCTGTCCCCAGGGCCAGCTGTATGGTGGACTTGCCGACTGCCTGGTGAAGATCTGGCGGCAGGAGGGCCCCCTGGCACTCTACAAGGGTCTGGGCCCGGCCTACCTGCGCCTGGGCCCCCACACCATCCTCAGCATGCTCTTCTGGGATGAGCTCCGGAAACTGGCCGCGCGGGGCCAGCGCCAGGGCACCTAGGCAGCATCCGTCATCCCCGTGTCCTGACACAGCCCGGGACCTGGCGGGAAGCGACGGCCCGCTCTGGCTGGCAATGGCCGTCTCAGAGCAGGCCACAGGCCCAGACCCTGCCACACGTCCGAGGAGAGTGTGGACAGCTCTGGTCAACCGAGACCCCTGGCCCACTCAGGGCCTGAGCCTCTGCCCTGGATCACCAGGCACTCTGTTCTCCCGCAAGTTCTCTTCCCTCTCTGCCTGGGTTACCTCATCCCCGAGCCTTACCCGTGATTACATAACCGCTCCGGGGCATGACTGTCACCACGAGCTGGGTCACTCACATGCATCAGCTTGCTTAGTCCTCAAACAGGACGAGACAGTGAAATCCTCTCTTACCAAGAGGAAGCTGAGGCTCAGCAAGGTGAAGTGCTTTGACCAAAGCCACACAGCTCTGAGGGGACGGAACCAGGACTGGATCTTAGCTCTGCCCAGTGCAGACTGGTGCCCCTGGCAGGAGCCAGGACCCGGGGGCTGGAGGGCCCCTGAGTGTCACTAGTCATGGGGAGGCCCCAGGATGCACCAGGAGGCCGTCGTGTCACACGTGTGTTCGTGAGCTCAGGCTGCCGTAAAAAGCACCTCAGACCAGGGGTTCAAACAACAGATCTTGTCTCACAGTCTGGAGGCTGGAAGTCCAAGATCAAGGTGTCAGTAGGGTTGGTTTCTCTGAGGCCTCTGCGCTTGGCGGCCCTGGGTCCTCACATGGTCTTCCTTCTGTGCCTGTGTCCGAATCTCTTCTAATAGGGACACCAGTCATGTTGGATTAGCACCCACCCTAATGTCCTCATTTTAACTTAGTCACCTCTGTAGAGACCTCATCTTCAAGGACAGTCACAGACTGGGGGTTAGAACTTCAATATATGAATGTGGGAGAGGAGGGGCCTAGTTCAGCCTGTAACATCAGCTGAGAGCTTTTACTGAGGGCCTCCTAGATGCCCAGCACTGGGGGCGTTTGCACAGATCCTCATGACCATTCTGAAAGGGAGCTCTTGCGGTGCCCATTCTTCAGATGAGGAGGCTGAGGCCCGGGGCAGGGAAGTGACTTGCTTAAGGTGAGTCGCGGAGGCAGGTGTCCTCATCCCGGGCCCTTTCTGCAAGCTGCAGCCACACTCCCCCAGCGAGTATGTTCCTAAGGCCCGCGCTGACCTTTGTGCTTCAGACATGGACACTGAGTACCTGGAAGGGACAGGACTGGCCCAGGTCAAGCAGCCTGAACCGCACACCCCACGTCTGCCGTTCCAAGGGCACAGTACCCCTACTGCACACTCCAATAAAGTTTTCTATTTTGTTTACTTCCACGACTCCCTTCTGCTGGCAGCCTCAGCCTCCGCCACCCGTGAGCCCCCACCCTCGGCTCGCTCTCCTCAGTTGGGAAAGGAGGATCCAAAAGTTTGGGGGCAGGCCAGTGGCACCCCACCGCCTCCATCCCGACTGAGGCCTGCCACCTAGTGGACACGGGGAGGGCCGCAAGGAAGGCTGCCCCGTGGCTGAGGGAGAGGACCCAGACCCCGATCTCAGCCTCAGGCTGTGGGGGGATAGATGCCCCCCCTCCAGACCTCAGGCTGAGGACGCTGAGCCTCAGGCTGTGGGGACACAGACCCCGCCTTCCAGAACTGGGGCTGAGGGGGCAGAGCCCAGATGCAAGGCTGGGGGCGGGGGCAACAGCGACGCCTGGGGCTTCGGGAAGGCCCTGGGGGGCAAGCCCTAGCGGAGACTGAAAAAGTGGGCCCCCACCTTGAGCGCGGACAGAGGCCAGAGACCAGGCTGGAGATGCCCCCCGTGTTATGCTGCCCAGACGTGGAGCCCCTGAGCAGCCGCTTGGCTCCCTGGGCCCATAACCCTGCGGCCCTGAAGGTGTAAGGCCCCTGCCTCCCCTCCCGGGCCCTCCCCTGTCCTCCCCTCCTCCCCCAACCCCACTTCTGACCCCTCCCCTCCCGGACTTCTGACCCCTCCCCTCCCCCACGCTCCCACCCCCCGGCTTCTGACCCCTCCCCGCCCCTCCCCTCCCTCCACTGACACCTTTGCCCCATGACGTCGGTCTTTGTGGTGCAGACCTGGCCGGAGGCTGGGGCTGATCCCGGCAGCCATGTTCTCCCTGCCATCCCTCCCCTCCTGGCTCCCCAGCCTCCCCTCCCTCCAGTGGGGCTCCGGCCTCCTCGACTCTGTCCTTCAAGGTGAGCGCCGCCTCCTCATCCCGCGCAGCCCCGCCCCTCGGGCAGCTCTGGGACCCCCCCGCAGGGTGGACCCCCCACGTGGGTCTCCCACCACCTGTCACCCTGCCAAACTCGCTTGCCCTCCCTCCTGCCCCTCAGGCCTCATCGGGGCCAGTGGAGTCTCGGTCCTGAACAGCCTCCTGAAGGTCTACTTCTTTGTGAACTGTGCCAAGTGAGTGTCTGCCAACCCAGCCCACTCGGGGCCCCTCCCTGGGCCCTGGGCCTTGAGCTGCCGCTGGCCTCATGGGGGAGGGCTGGAAGGAAGAGAACCCCGTCCCCAGGGTGCGTTTCTGGGGGCACGGGGTCCGCTGCCTGGGCCGAGGCTGGTGGTTCCGCCCCTGCCCACGCCCGCTCTGCCCGACAGCAACCCCGAGCGGCGGCTGGAGAAGGAGCGGCTGCAGGCCCAGTGGGCCTCGCTGGAGATGGTGCACCTGGCCGGGCTGGCCCTGATCCTGACCCTCCTGGGGGCCCGGGTGGCCGCCCTGGTGGTGCTTGAGTTCTCCCTCCGGGCTGTCTCCACACTGCTCTCCCTGGGCAAGGTAAGGCTTCCGGAGGAGGTGAGTCACGACCCAGCCCTGGGCCCTAGTTCTCCCCCAGAACACAGGAAGCTGGGCCCAGCCGGAGCACCCCGTCTCCTCACCACCCCCTTTCTGTAAGACTGAGACTGGAGAGTGCAGATTGCCCCTGGGGGTTGGGAGCACAGTCCCGCAGTGGCCCGAAGCCCCAGGCCAAGGGCGGTGGCAGCTCCGGGCTGTGGAGCCCCCCACGCGCCAGGCGCCCTGCCAGGCACTTTGGGTGCGTCATCTGGCGCATCCTCACAATCAGCGGGGGTAAAGCTCTGCTGTGATGGGGGGACTAAGCCTCAGAGAGGGTGAGCGGCTTGTCCCAGGTCAACCAGCAAGAAGTGGAGTCAGGCTTTGAACCCAGGTCTTCAAGGCTCGGGGCCACCAACCTTCAGCGAGTAGCAATCGTGTTGGAGACCAGGCCGGAAGAAGTGGTCCCAGGCAGGGCTTGACCCGAAGGCAGCATTCCTTCTTTGGGGACGATTCCCAGGGTTCCTTCTGGCCCCAGCCTCCTACAGAGCGGCCTGTGTGCCTTCACAGCCGCCTGGCCCGTCCCCCGCCCCCGCGGGGGAGGCAGCCCCCCCCACCACGGCCCCTCTTCTGCTCCCTCCTCCCCCACCCCTGCGCAGGGCTCCGAGGGGGAGAGGCTGCAGCTGTACTTGCTGAGCCAGCACTCACTGGGCTGCGGGCTGACCTGCGGCCTGAGCTTCCTGCAGGAGGGCGCCCCTCACCGCACCCTGAGCCTGCTGCTGGGCCTCTGGCTGGCCACCCTGCTCAGCGCGGGCGCCCGGCGCCTCTGCCGCCACGCCTGCCAGCTCTACGAGCCGCACCGCGGCCTGCAGAGCTGCGGGGTGTGCCTGGGCCTGCTGGCTGGCGCTCCGCACCTGCCCCGGCTGCTGGCCCGCGCCCTGGCCGTGGCCTTCGCCGTGGGCAACCTGGCGGCCGTGGCCCTCGTCAACCGGGACTTCCCCACCACCTCGGACGCCGTGCGCTTCTGGATGCCGCTCGTCATCTGCTACGCCCTGCTGGTCATCTACATGCAGGGTGAGGGCCACCGCGGGGGACCTGGGCACTCACGTGCCGCTGACCGACCCGGGCACAGCATCATCACGCTAGGCCCTGGGGAGGCCAGCCACGGTCAGACACCCCCCCTCCCCGCCATCCCAGGGCGCCCAGTCTAGTGACAGAAGCCACAGGGAACAGCTCAGGGAAGGGTGTGGCGTGCGGCGGGAGCTTGAAGTGGGTTTTGAAGGATAAGTAGGAGCCCCTGGGAGAGGTGGGGGGTGGGGGCAAGGAGGTCCTGGCAGGGGAAACCACACATGCCCAAGCCCAGAGGTGAGAGAAGGCACGGCGCCGTCAAACTGGAAAAAGTTGAGTGTGGCTGTCCCCCCGAGGGAATGGGGAGGGGATGAGGCTGGCCAGCGTCATGGGGGCCTGATGGGGAACCCTCATCAGCCAGGCTGGCAGGCAGCTGAGAAGCCACTGCAGGTGCCAGCAGGGGAGAGTGACCTGGGGCCCCAGGTGTGGCGGCAGGGGTGACAAGCACCCCTCCCCCCCAGAGGAACAGCGGCAACACCCCGGCCTGCAGAGCCAGGTCCAGACGTTGCTGGTGCGCATGGGTGGTCTCTTCGTGCTGCTGCTGACCGTGGGCTGCTGGCTGGACCTCCCGGGACTCCTCCTGTCCCTGCTGGGTGAGCTCTGGTGCCTGGCACGCAGCCGCACTCTGCTCGACCTTTGCCAGATACAGGTGGGCACCCCACCCCGAGCGTCCCCCGGACACTGACCCTGCCCCAGACAGTGCAAGGAGCCTCAACACGCCCCAAGTTTACGAAGAGCTGGGGTGACCTCTCTTGGGGTGGGGGCAGAAGGAGCTGAAATCCCCTCTTCCTCCTGGTGTTAACCTTTGACCCCTCAGAAGTTCCTAGTGGGAGGAAGGGCCTGGGTAATCGGAGGCCTGAAGTCCCCCACCAGAGGATGGGGGAACTGAGTGCTGTCCTCCATCTTTGCCTCCCCACCTTCCCTCAGGATTTTCCATCCCAGAGGCCTTCGGGCTCAGCTCCAAGGCAGTCCCAGCCCCAGCCCTCAGCAGCTGCCCAGCCCCAGGACACAGCCCCCTCCTGACCTGCCTTAGCAAGGACTTGAAGTCCGTCTTAGGCCCACCCAGGCTCATCTGGAGGCCTTGACTCCAGGATACTGCCCCGCAGCAGAGGGGCCAGCCCCACCTGGAGCTCAAGGTGGGCGCTGGGGGCTCCTGCCGGGAGGCGAAGGCTTGGGGCTAGGGACCTCAGAAGGGGGGCACCAGGAAGCCAGTGGATGAAGCCCTGTTTTTCTCAGGATGGACAATGCATACAGCCCCCTCAGACCCTCCTTCCCCAGGGGGGTTGGGGAATGGGGAAGAATTGCATCCTCAGAATGGCCCCCCTTTACTGGCCTCCCTCTCCTCCTCCATGACAACAATAAAGATGATTTTTCTCAACCTGTGCTTAGAATCTTGAACACACAGAGAGGGAAAGAGGCTTTTCTGAGGCCACACAGCCCTTCTGGCTGGGGCAGGTTCCGGGGATACATGCGGACTGGGTTCCCTGGGGTTTAGGAGTTCAATATTGAGGTGGCTGAGGAAGCAACAGGGATTCGGTGGCATGGACTCATGATCTAGCATCCACTTGCAGTTGTGGGTGGACGGTGTCCGTGTCCCGCCCCATCCTAGGCTGTCTAAGACCATGAGGGTCCTTGCTCTCTCAGCCTCGTTCAGCCCTGTCTCCCCTGCAGGGCCCAGCCCAGGGAGGCCACAGAGTATCTGGGAAAAGGTTGGGTACCAGCTCCTCTCCTTACTTGCTGTGTGCCATTGGGTGGGTCGCTGTAACTCTCTGAGCCAGTCAGAAGAAAAATGGCCATGTGTGGGATGCTTACCACGTGCCAAGCACTTTTATGATCTCTTTTCATTCTGACATCAGCCCCAAGAGATGGGTACTGTTATCCCTTTTTAACAGATTCAGAAAGCCCAGAGAAGCCCAGAGAGGTTATATAATTTGCTCAAGGTCACAGAGCTAGTTAGTGGCGAAGCCAGGATTGGAGCCCGGGTGGCCTGACCCCCAAAGCTCAAGTGCTTTGCGTGCTTCCTGCTACCTTCTTCTTGTTGAAGAGCTGGGGCCACGGAAACCAACAGAGGTGCATATAAAAAAATAGGGCAGGTCCATTCCTGGAAGGTTCTGGAATGTGGTTCCAGCCACCTTGCGAGCAGAGTAGCCTGAGGTTCCATCACAGCCATGTTTTCCTGGCCTGGGCACTGGGCCCACGGGGATTGAGGGCCCTTTCCAAGGAGGGACCCCACAGGGCAAAGAAGACTCCTAGCTAGGGGGTATCCAGGGGGCTACGAGGGTCAGGTTGTCTGGGAGTGACCGAGGACGCACCAGGAAGGCGGTGAGGCGAGAAGGTTCTTGGAGGATTCCAGGTTCTGGCGAGCCCTGCTTCTCAGCAAAGGCCACCATGCTCACCCAAAGCCTACTTCTTCTGGAAGCAGACAGAGTCTGGTGTAGGCTTCTCTTTTCCCCACCCCAGGGCACACCTGGGACACGGGGGCAGGCTGGCCCCAAGGCTGGACAGGGTGGTTTCTGCTCCTTCAGAAATGGCCACCCACTGACAGCTCAAGCCCAATCTCTGATCCCTTGGTCTCCACGCTCTACCCCCAGGAGGGCCTCTCAGCTCCAAAGTAGCTGAGGTGGGGGAAATGCCTGTGGTTGCCCCTTCTCCCAATCCAGGACCCAGCCCCCCCACTCCGCCTGGGAGTGTGTTCAGTTCCCTCTGGGCAGGAAACTTGCCCCAGTCTGGGAGGAAATGGCTCAGTTAGCTGGGCATACGGCCAGCCCTTGCCAGACCCAGGCACCAGGTTCCGACTCGGGCCCGATGTTTTTGCTGGAAGGTTCCCTGGCCTCCTGGCTCCCAACAGCCTGGGATCCAGTGGGGATAGGGCTGGTAGGGGATTGGATTTGGCGGTCCTTTCCTTTTTATGGACATGGGGACCATTTCCAAACAAAAATTGGGCCACATGGGTTGGAATAGGATTCTTATCTATTAAATTATTTTTGTGAAAAGTCTGACAAGGGCATAAAAATTAGATCACTCTAAGTGAGGCATTTAGCAAATCTCCATACCAAACAAAGAAAAACAGGCCTGAAGTCCAGAGAGCAGAGGAAATCCAGAAGGTACGGTCTGGAGTGGGGTATGCAGCTGGGACTCATTCTCCTACAGAGACCATAAGAGGCCTGAATGCTGGGCCCGGACCAGCATCCTTCTGAAGAGGTGGGAGACCAGGACTCCCAGTCTCTGCTAAGAGAGGATGGTAACCTCCAGGGCAGCTGGGATTGGGGTGAGCCAGCCTCCTCCCTCCTGAGCCGGCTACTTCTGGCTCTTCTGAGCTATGGCATTGTCCCTTTGGGCATCTTGCATGCCTTCCCCTGTTTGCTCATTCACAAGTAATTACTAAACATCTGCATGGGGCCAGGCTCTGGGCCAGAAAAGATGCAGAAGTAACAACTGTGCTATAAAGAAACATAAAGCTGGGTAAGGGGATAGAGTGGCGGGAGGTTGGGGCCAGCAGGCTAAGGAGAGGGTATTTGTTAGTCATCGCCACGTAACAAATGGCCCCAAAACTTAGCAGCTTAAAACAACAGATATTTATTGTCTCCCTCTTTTTTTTTTTTTTTGAGAGAGAGTGCATGTGCATGAGCGGGGGTGGGGGGTGGGGGGGGAGTGTGGAGAGGGAGAGAGAGACTCTCAAGCAGGCTCCACACCCAGCCCAACGTGGTGCTCCATCTCATGACCCTGAGATCATGACCTGAGCTGAAGAGTCAGACGCTTAACCGACGGAGCCACCCAGGTGCCCCTACTGTCTTTCTGTGGATTGGGTCCCACAGCCTGGAAGGGTCCTCTGGCTCAGGTTCTCCTCACAGACCAAGTCAAGTTGTTGGCCAAGGCCCTGGTGTCATCTTAAGGCTTGACTGGGGTAGGATCCACTTCCAAGCTCACTCACATGGTTGTTGGCAGGGTTCAGTTTCTTGTGGGCTACTGGACCGAGAGTCTCAGTTCCTCTCTGGCTGTTGGCTGAGGGTGTCCTTAGTTCCCTGCCACATAGGCCTCTCCAAAGACAGCTCTCAACATGGAAGCTGGCTTCCCTCAGAGCGAGCTAGGGAGGGAGAGAGAAAGCAGACGGCAGGACAGAAGTCACAGTCCTTTTGTAGCCCGGTGTGAAAAGCAACACCCATTGTTTTTGCTGTATTCCATGGATTAGAAGCAAGTCCCTGAGTCTTGCCCACCCTTGAGAGGAGGGATTACACAAGGGCAGGGCAGAAGCTGCCTTCCATGGAGGGCTTTTTTGAATGGACTGAGGGAGCAAGCCAAGCAGATTCTGAGGGAAGAACATCCCTGGCTGAGAGAAGAGCCCGGGCCACGGCCCTGAGGTGGCAACAAGCTGAGAGTATTGTAGAAACAGCAGGAAATTTAGTGTGGCTGGAGCATCAGAGAGGATGGAGTGGCAGGAATGAGGTCGCAGAGGTGGGCAGGGACCGGCTCCCTCAGGGCCACGGTGAGGGTCGTGACGGGTAGGCAGCAGAGAGTTTGTCCAAGGGAGTGAGTGACATAATGTGACTTAACATTTTTAAAGGATTCCTCTCCTTGCTGTTTGTAGAATAGTGCAGAAACAGAAAACCAGTTTAGGAGCATTTGGAATTACCCACATGAGATGATAATAACCCTGGGAATAACCCAGGGCTTGGACCAAGATGGTAGCCATGAAAGTAGCCAGAAGTGGATGGATTGGACTGGATGGATGGACATGGCTGGATGGATATGGATGTATTGTGAAGAGTTCATAGGGCTTCCTGATCAATTAGATGTGGGTATTAGAGAATGAGAAGAACCCAGGGCTCTTAGGTTTTTGGCCTGAAAACCTGGTGAATGAGGTGGGAGGCATCTGGGGCAGAGCAGGGCCATCTCACGCGGGTGTGGTCAGCATTGGCGGGAAGGCCAGATGTTACGAGGTTTGATGAGGTCTGGGGCTCAGGGAGGCCTCACTGACAAAGAGCTGTTGACCTGGAATCCTGAACATTCAGGGGGAGTTCCCAGACCAAGGGAGTGGTGGGGAAGCCCAGGCGCTGAGCCGCCTGAGGGGCTAAAGAAAGGTCTGCGTGCCTGAACAGAGGGGGCGAGAGTCCCAGCAGTGGGAGACACTGTCACAGAGGCTGGCTGTGGCCAGATCACCCAGGATCACAGGAGGGCCTGGCATTCCCCCCCGCCCCGAAAGCAGCAGGAGCCCCTGAGGGGCTTTGTGGGGGCCCTTGAAGATCACACGCTGCTTTAGCAAGATGGTCTGGCCATCAGTGGAGATGTGTTGTGAAGGAGTAAGAGCAGGGCCAGTCCAATTTTAAGGGCCCCCCTTAGGAAAAAGAATACAAAATCTGTATTAAATGAATAGTGATAGAACGATAAAGAAAAGCATAACAAATTGCTGGAGGCCTAGAGACCTGGGTTCCTTCTTCTGACATCTCCCTGGGCAGCGTGCCAGGAGCACTTAATGGAAAATGCTTCCTGAGTGCAATCTGGCTGCCTCCCCTCCCAGAACACTCTGTAACTCCCAGCAACCCTCACAGGGGCCCCTACAAGTAAGAGGCCTACACAGTCACTATAAACCCACCTTGGCTAAGAGAGAAGTAGGGAGGCCAGCTGGGGGTAAGGAGGGGTCTCAGGGACTGGGGTTGCTGAGTAGATGAAGCCAAGGGTGGGGGCTCCTGGTGGGGTTGGGGGCTCAAGCTGGGGGATGGGATCAGTGAGGTGTTTGAACAGGGGCTCAGCCTTGGCCAGCGGCCGAGGGCTTGGGGAAGTCTCAGGGACCTCAGGGACCTGACTGACACCAGGATTTCCCCCTCTCTGTCCGAGAAGGAGCTCTGACCTACAAGACTGGGGTCAAGGAGCCTCAAGCCCCTCCACGGCCCACCTCTCACTCTGGAGCCCGTGTTGACTTGGCAAACCATGGGAACCAACCAGCTTAGACAGTGTCAGTTCAGGCCCCCGGAGCAGGAGGGGATTAAGACCCAGACGATGTTGTCATAGCCAGGTCTGGGAGGCTGGGCCCTGTGTGGCCCAAGTGGACACAGACTTGGGGCCTGAGAGGAGGGGAATTTATGTGGCTATAATGTGGCCCAGTCTGCTCCCCCTGGGTTTTTAAACATTTCCCTACACACTTGGCCTGTTCAGTAGAGTTGCCTGGAGCCAGGCCACCTGTTTGAATGAAGCTCGTTTACTAACCTTATGACCTTGAGCAAGTTATTGTCTGTGCTCAGTTTCCCCATTTGTTGAGTGCACTGAACAGATGGTAGGGCATGTAGCCCAGCGGCTGACTGTGGGCTCCAGTCCCCACCAGCCCGCCAAGGGACCATAATTTGCATTACCTGCCCCCAGCCTTCCGAGCAACCTGGGAGGAGTTGACTGTTTCTCTTTCTCCTTAGGAGAAAACCCAAGGTACAGAGAGATCACATGACTTGCTCAAGGTCACAGAGCTAATAAGTGGGAGAGCCAAGATCCAAATTCAAGGAGGTCTGACTCCAAAGCCCAAGCCCTTTACAGCTCACTACCCATCACTATTTCTACGTGATTTGCCTACACAGCTACTTAAGACCTCCATCTCCAACTTGCGCATTTTGTAGGAATTACTGAGTCCCTACTATGCACCAAGCATCATGCTGGGTGCTGGAGACCCAGAAAGGAATGAGACAGAGCCCTGCTCCCAGGCTCATGGGGAAAACATAGTGGTGCAACCCAGCAGCCTTGGGATGTATCCAGGGGATGGACATGACTCCTAAGCCTGCCTGGAGGAATCAGGACAGGCTTCTCAAAAGTGGTGAAAGGGATGCAGAGTTTGACAGGAGGAGGAGGTGATCCAGACCCATGGGGTCTCACCAGTCTTCACCATGACTCTGCTTTCAGCAACAGAAACACAATTTTAACCTGTTGAAGACAGGCAAGAAAAAAGAGAATGCATTGGCTCCAGAGGTCCAGAGGGAAGACTTCAGGCATGGCTGAATCCAGCAGCCTAAGTGATGAGATCAGCTATCTCTCCTTCTTTATCCTCTTTGTTCCCATGCCCTCTGTGTTGGTCCAAGTGCTCGTAAAAAAGTGGTGCCAAGCTTGCATTCTGGCAAGACTGGAAAAATGCTGCCTCTTTTTAAATAGTTCCAGCTAGGCACTGACAGTGGGGGTGGGGGTTCCTCAGACAGAAATTGGAGGCTGTGACCAGAATCCAGGGAAGTGATGCCGGCTGACAGGAGCCATGACGTCCCCTTGGATTCTCCAGTGGAACCAAGTCTCTGCCTTACCTCCAGCACTTTGTTCATCTCGTGGTGATCTCCCCAGACCTCTGTCCTCTCCCTGCCAGGGAGAGAGGAAAGGAACTCATCTCTGAACACCTGCGAAGCACCAGGCATATTTATCCACATGCATCCATCAAATCCTCACGGTGAAGCCCAGGTGACAAGAGGAAACCGATTTGCCCAAGGCAAGCGACTGACCAGTGGCAGGGCTGGACTCACTCACAGATCCTGATTTGACTCCTGTCTGTGCTTGGCCCGCCACCTGCCCTGCTGCAGTGGGAGGTGGGCTCCCGCTTCTCGGAACTGCTCCCACTCCTGCCTGGCTGGACACACAGTAGGTGCTCAGGGAATAAGTGTTGAGCTGATCCGACTCCCAGCAGGCAGAGCAGAGGATGGAAGAAGGAGCAGGGGCAGAGTCCGGACGGGGAGGCCCAGGGAGGTTTCTGAGGCTCTTTGCCAAGAAGTGGACCCCCTGCACCTCCCCCCGCCCCGGATGTACAACTTCATGCAGCTGTAAGTCTGGGCACCCCACCCCCCAAAGGCTGGGGCTGATGGTTCTGCTCTGGTCTGGCCCACACGGAGCCGGTCAAGGGGAAAGGCCACTGAGCAGGCAGATGCTTTCCTTCCTCAAGGTCTCTGCCAGTGGGGGCTGTGTGGCTCCAGGAAACTTGTTCCTATTCCCGGGTCTAGTTGCACAGCCTATGGACTGTGTGAACAGAGGGCTCTGGAGACCAGGCGAGGGTGACGTGACAATAGCCAGAACTACCATTGGTGGGCACTGACCACGAGCCAGGCCCTGGGGGCCCCTTTCAGCACCTCTGTCCCTAACAGTTCTACAAAGGGAAGCATTCATGTCCCCAGGGGAGGGTATCTGATCCATCTCCCCTATTTTTTTGTTTGTTTCTTGAAATAATTTATTTTTAAGTAATCTCTACACCCAATGTGGGGCTCGAACCCATGACCCCGAGATCAAGAGCTGCAATGCTCCACCCACTGAGCCAGCCAGGCGCCCCTCCCTTATGTTATGGGTGAGGAAACAGAGCCTCAGAGAAGGAAAGAGCTTGTCCAAGGTCATAGCCAGCACCAGAATGCTGGGAGTTAAGCCGAAATCTGACCTCAAAGCCCGTGTATTCCTTACTGCCTCCCTGGCTCTGGAATGCCCTCCCCGTTCTTCTCATGGCTGGCTCCTCTTCATCTCCCCTTAAGTGACACCCGGCCCCCAGAAAGGCCTTCCCTACTCTCACCTACCCCCCTTACTCTGTGTCAGCCCCTTATACATTCCTTCATGGCACACATCACCATTGTGTTATGGTCACCGTGAGATCATGGTAAGTATTAGAGTAGTTTGTGTTACATGTTGATCTCCCCCACCTCTCCGGAAGTTCCATGGGGACAAGGATGGGTTGTGTCTGATTTGATTCCCTTGGGCTCCACGACTCCTTTTAGCACATAGTAGATGCCCAACCAATGTTTGCTGGATCAAAGCCCTCTTCTGGGGGCAGTAGGTGCATGCTCCCCTCAGACCAGGCGGCAGCAAACGTCCGCACTGCCCTGGTTCTGTCCCCCAAACCTCTCTCCCACCCCTTCCCTGCCACCCGGAGTCTCAGCTGCCACAGCCCTACTAAAAGATTGAGCCGCCTTGCTCAACTGCTTGGAAGAGAGCTGGGTCCAAGGCTAGCAGGACAGGGGGAGGGATCAGGGGCTCTCTGAGCTGGCAGACAAAGGGCATGTGTTCCCACCCAGGACACTTCCTGGGTTTCCCTTACAGGAAGCTTGGCACCAGCCAAGGTGACACTGACACAGCGCACCCCCCCTCCCCGCCCCCGGGCTGGTGTGGGACGCCTTCCCCAGAAAGGCTCCTCTCCACCGAGGAGCAGCGACAGAGGTAGAACAGGCGGCCAGGCGTGCCAGACGGCAGGTAAGTGGTGGCAGCTGGACCCCCACATATCCCTTCGACCTTCCCCCTTCCCAGCCAGTCCTAGCCCCAAGCAGATGTGTGGAGCCTGGGCCCTAGAAGGAGTCCGTGTGACTTTGGACGAGGCCGCAGATCAACCCTTTGGGGCCTCATTGTCCCATCTGCGGGTGCAGTGAGGCGGCTCAGGGGATATCATGAAGGTGAGGGAGGGCAGCTCCATTTTTACCTGTTTTAAATAAGCTTCTGGGTCACAGAGCACTTGAAAAGGGGGTTCTAGGGCAAACCCCTGGATCGCACCTTCCTCCTTAAGGTCCTTCCCATCCCTGGCCGTCAGCAGCCCCCTCCTTCCTCCTGGGGAAGCTCCTGCAGGCTGGGGAATGGGCCTGATCAAGGGCTCAGGCAGCCCGGAGTCTGCGTCCCCTGGGCCACACCGTGCTCTGCAAGCCTCAACTCCCACACCCCTGTGGGCGGCAGGTGCAGGGGCGGGAGCCACAGGGCAGCGTGTGTTCCCCGGGGCCGCCGGCTGCTCTGGGTTTGAATCCAGCTCTGCCACTTGCCCCTCATGTGGCCTGATGCCTCTCTGGGCCTCAGTTTCCTCAATGGTGAAGCAGGAATGACCAGTCCAGCCCCACAGGGCTGTCCAGGCGATTCGATGGAGAGGCCTGTAGGTCAAGCGCCTGCACCTGGAAGCCTCTGCCTCGGGGGTTACTGTTACCATATCGTTATTGTGGAGTGGTTGAGAGGCTCACAAGTGGGTGAGGGATTGAGAGGGGCTGGGAGGAGAAGGAGGGGTGGGGGAACGAGACAGCGTACCCAGGTGCCCCCGTCACGACCCCCATGAGCGGGAGCCCCTCAGCAGCAGCCCCAGAGCCATCCTGGCCAGGGTGACTGTAGCTTTGGCCCCAGGGGAGAGCTCAATCCCGCCTGGCCTCCCCCAGATGGTGCTGGGTCCAGCACTCCTCTGGCCTCAGCTGCTGTGGCTTTAATCAAAAGAACAATCTGTTTGCCTCTGAATCAGACCCAGATTTCTTTTCCCACCAATGTTCCCGAGGCCTCCAGGGACCCAGGCGGCCCATCCAGGCTCCTGGCCCCGTCTCCTGTCCCAGGGCCCCAGGCCCCGGCTCTGCTTCCTCCTCCCCCCTCTACTCTGGCTTGGGTCCGGGGAGTGCAGGAGGTGGGAGGGAGCCAGAGACTGGAACCAGGGTTGGCAAACCAGGTGACCCCGACTGCCTGCTGGACCCTGCCTACCAGGCTGCCTGGAAGGGCCTGTTCCCCCCGGGGACACTGGGACCCGACTGCAGAGGGCTTAAGGGTCCACTCAGGCAGTGGTGGCTGCTCAGGACAGCAAACTGGGATGACCTGCTCCCCTGAGCATCTGAGACCTCCACCCAGAGTCACCCCCTAAAAAAGCCCCAAGCCCAGCGTATATTGACCACTGACTGCCGCCCACTTCTCACAGTCAATACCATCCTTTATGCTCAGGCTGACCCGGAGCGGGAAGCAGCCTTTACCCCCATTGTACAGATAAGAAACTGAGACTCCAGGAGGCGGAGTGACTGCCCAGGGTCACTGGGTTAGCGATTGGCCATAGAACCCAGGCCCATCTGACTCCTAGGACCCTGGGAGATCTCAGGCCAAACTCAAATGTAAGTACCCCCCCCCCCCCCACACACACACCCGACCGGGCAGGTGGGGCCACCAACCCAGGTGACCTAGGGAAGGAGGAGGGGAAGGACCTCGCTGGGCGCACAAAGGCCCCGGGGGTGGGCAGCAGGGGAGGCCTCCCACCCGAGGCCCGGGCCCAGGGGACGGGAGGAGTGGTCGAGGGAACAAAGGGCGGGCGGCGGGGGGCCGGCGCGGGGCGCGGCCGGGCAGGTGGGGGGGCAGGTAGGGGCCACTTCCGCCGGCGGGAATCCCGGGCCCCCTCCCCCTAAGCTTCACCTTTTATGGTAAGGCGGCCGGGGCGGCGGGGCGGAGGGAGCCGAGGGGGCGGGGAGGGCGGGGAGGGCGGGAGGCGCCGCGCCGCTCCCGGCTCTGCTCGCTCGGGCGTCGGACCGGAGCCGCTGGGGCGCGGGCGACGCAGGTAAGCGGGGCGCGGGGGGGCGGCCGTCCTTCTGACCCTGCCCCGGCCGCACACAGGTGACAGCGCGGGCAGCCCCGGGCCGGAGCCCCCCCCAGCCCCCCGCCCCCCCCCCGGCCGGGACCCCAATCCCGGCGCTCCTGGAGGGGGCCCGCGGGGGGCTGGGGTGCAGCCTTGGGTCCCGGCTCCCGGCCTCTGTCCCCAGAGCGGGGGGAGGGCTGGTGTCCCTGCCCCGAAGCGGGGCGCCGGGGTGGGGAAGAGGTGGGCAGGGCGGAAGCTCCCGCACAAAGAGGACAGCGTCCCGCACATGGATCGAATTAAAGTCCCCGGCGGCGCCCCACAGTGACCCGGCCAGCCTCCCGGCTGGGCTGCTTGCGGAGGGCGCCGGGTTTCCGGAGCTCCGGGGAGCTCCGGGCCCCTTCACCCAGGCCGGGTCGGGCGGGGGGATGGGGGGGCCCCAGGGCCGCCCCTCTCTGGGCCTCAAATCCCCGTCGGGGGCTGGGAAGGGGTGTGCCGTGGGGCATCTTGGCCGAGATGGGCCCCCAGCCCTGCTCCGGGGACCCCGGGAAGAGCCCGGGCAGCGCCCAGATTCCTCATCTTGAGGACGGAAGCCAAGTCGGGTCCTCCCAAATCCCCCAAGCCCGCTGGGCCCCTGGGGGCTCCTCCCCATCAGGGGCTGGATAACCACCTGGCCTTCTCTTTGCACTTACCAAGTACCAAGATCTGGAGCGCTCTCTCTCTCCTTGTATTCTCTCAGCCAACCACCTTTCAGGACAGACATTTTTTTATTCTCACTTTAGGAAAAAACTGCGGCCCAGAGAGGGTCAGTAACCTGCTCTGGGTCACCCAGCAGGAAAGAGGTGGGGCCCGGCATGACTCCAGCTCTCTGTGCTTCCTTGGCTTCCCTGAGGTGGGGGAGAGGGAAAAGGAACCCTACCCAAGGTTGCAGGGCCCTCTGCAGGGAGTGGGCACAGCCTCATTCCCACCTCCAGCAAAGTGTCATTCTGAACCAAGCGTAGGTTGCTTTGTCCAAGTATTAAAGAACAAAGCTTACAGGTGGTTCCAGAAATTTTTGGAGGGGGTTAGGAGTAGGAAGGAAGGGAAAGAGGGGGGCCACTACCGGGAGGCTGGCCAGCTCAGCCAGCCTGTCTCTGCCCTGGGCTACAGCCTAAAGCCGGGCTGGGTGGGTGGCTGGCTGGATCTCAGCCTCCTTCCTTCCTCTTGACAGGAAATGACTTTCTTTCCCTTTGTTCCCACTTTCTCTGCTTACCCAACTGGATCTCAGATTCCCCCTCTGCGGGAGGAAGGATGGGGGTGGAGGGTCCCGTGGGTGCGGCTGGCCAGGAGCCCCACACAGGGAGCTTTCTCACTCATACCCCGCTCCAGGGTGACCTGGGGGCAGTGGGACCTGAGGGAGGCCGAGGCTCCCTCTCCTAGCAGCCCCGGGCTGGACTGACAGGCTTTGAAAATCCCCAGTGGGGGCCCCTTCCCCTGGGGCCTGAAGTCCCTGCAGGAACCGCAGGGAGGGATGGGGGGTGCAGAGCTGCCCAGCTGTGAACATCTGGCCTCAGAGCGAGGACATTTGCCTTGGATGTTTTCCGAGAAACCCACAGATCTGACTTCCCGGAGGGGTGGGCTGGGGTGGAGTGGGGGTCAGAGCAGGGTCGGAGGGAGGCGGCGGGGGCATTCACAGCAGTCTCTGGGGATGAGCCCAGAATGCACTGACCACAAGAAAATCCATCTGGATTGGGCCATTCTGGGGTGAGAACAGGCCTGAGGATTTGGAGGCCCTGTACCATCCAGGCAAAGAAAAGTGTGTCGTCTCAGGTCCAAGGGCATCCCCGGGACTCAGGTCAAATGGTGCTCAGTTAGAATTCTGAGTCTGCCAAGTCTGCTAAGATGACCTGGAAAAGTCACGTAACCTCTCGGGGCCTCACATGGAACTACCTGTAAAGTGGGGGCATAAGGGGCTGTGTTGCAAGTGAGGTGCGTTTTGAGGCTCGGAAAGCACGAGCCACAGCGCCCAGCACATAGCAAGTGCTTGGTCAGCAGGTGCCATCGCTGTTGTTTCTTGGATGTGAATCTCTGAAAGCTGCTTACAAAAATAGACTCTTAAGCTTATAACCGAGCGTAAGGCCAAAGTGTCAAACCCTATGGTTTTGACCTCTGACTATGGCAGCCAATATCAGCGAGCATATATACTTCCAGACACCACTTACAGAACAAGATGCAAAAGGAAAGCACTTTTAAAGCACTTTTAAAGCTTTCTTCACATGTTGGTTTCTTATTCAGAACAGGTATTTTATTAATCAGACTGAGCTATATGTTTTAACCAAACATATAAACCAGTTTAAGAGGAACTGAGGCACATTTGTTGTGTTTGTTACTATTATTCCCTCAGTCACCAAGAGAGTCCAAGGTGGCCAGTGGACTTTGAGATACAGAGGGGGGCCCTCTGAGTGGTCACTTGGGCTCCAAGTCCGCCACTGGGGTCCCTCAGGGCCCTCAGCCCCTACCCACCCAGCCCCACTTCTTGAGATTCATTCACTAGGTCCTTGTTTATTCTTCTCCCTGCACACTTGTGGGCTGGGCTTTGGAACCATATCCGGGTGGCTCAGCTGGAGAGTGAGTTAGAAAGAGGAGAGACCCAGCTTAAAGACCCAGCTCAAACTGGGCAGAAGCCCTGGGAGCCCAGTGAGGACCCCTGGCTGAAGGTGGTCAACTTGCCCTCCCCCCACCCGAGTGGCCCCACCTCAGCCTTGGCCTTGGAGGCTACTGTTTGCAGTCATCACCTGGAGGATGGAAAATGGGCTCCTTGACATCAGGAATGCTGCCCTGCTCCCAGATCTATGCTCTGATGTCCACGCTGGCCTTGGGTCACAAAGATTACGGGTACAGCTGAAGTCACATACAGTCACTTGGGGAGGTAGGGGTAGACGTGGTGACAGGGAGCCAACATGTCCCGTGATGGGCTGTCATCACCCTGTGGAAGCAGACAGCTGCTCCCAGGAGAGGGGGTCAGGAATCAGGGGAGGCTTCCTGGAAAAGCTGGGCCTCTAAGCAAAAACTGACATTCGCCCTTTGTGGGACTGGGGAGGAAAAACAAGGGGTGGAAACACTCCAAGGCCAGTAAGAGAAAAAGTTGAGAAAGGGTGAGCGGTCCAGGGTGGTCAAAAAAGAAATTGAGGAGCACCTTGCTGGCTCAGTTGGAAGAGCATGCAACTCTTGATCTCAGAGCTGTGGGTTCAAGCCTCATGTTGGGTGTAGAGATTACTTCAAAATAAAATCTTTTTTTAAAAACTTTTTTAGAGAGTGAGGGAGAGGAGGTGGGGGAGGGGGAGAGGGAGAGAGAGGGAATAGTAAGCAGGTTCTGTGCTAGGCATGGCTTGATCTCATGACCTGAGATCATGACCTGAGCCAAAATCAAGAGTCAGACCCTTAACTGACTGAGCCACCCAGGCACCCCTAAAAATAAAATCTTTTAAAAAAAAAGGAAGAAAAAAAAAAGTTGAAGCCAGAGGAATTTGGACTTCATTTTGAAGGTAATAGGGAGCTATGGAAGGTTTTTGAGTACAGGAGAGATAGACTTATGCTCTGGAAAGATCACTCCAGGGACAGGGCAGGAGGCAGGACTGGAGACCACTGGGTCTCCTATCCCTACCTCACCCCAGTGCCTGAACCAGAGCCTGGTTTTGGAGATGGGACAGAGTGAGAGATTCTGACAATAGAATCAAGACTTGATTGGATGTGGAGGCTGATACCGAGAAAAGGATGCCGGTGGTGGGCTGGGCTGGGAGAGGGTGACAGAGCCACGTGGTCAAGAACATGGACCCTGGATTCAGATCCCGGCTCTGCTGCTGCATGACCCTGAACAAGGGACTACACCTTCCTGAGCCTTGGCTTCTCCATCTGCCCGGATAGTTATAGCGCCTCTCCCCCAGCGGCCAGGACGACTTAGGAGTGAGTGGGCCGAAAGTGCTTAGGACGGTGGGTGCAGAGTAGGCCTCGATCCATGGTAGCTCAGATTGATCTTCTGTCCCCTCTGCCTCCAGGAACCCAACCCTGATGCTCTGACCGGTCACGCTCATTCCCTCCCACAGTAGAGCTGGCCTGGATCCCCCGGGACTCTGACCCTCCCAGGAGGATTGGGTTCCAGGTGAGGGAGGTAACTGGGGTGTGGCCCCGCAGCAGGCAGGGCCCTGGGCTGGGACCAGCAGGCAGCTGCCCTGGGGTTGGGCAGCTGGAGGAGCTGCTCCTTCCTCACACTTCTCAGATGAGGAAGAGTAATCATTTGTGAGGTGAGCAGGGCAGGGCTGCCCTTTGCTTCCCCGGGTGCGCAGGTTGGGGGCAGGGGCGGTCAGGACTGCTGGGTCCCCTCCCTGTGGCCGAGCCACCTGGTGGACACCTGCCCTCCCCCCGCAGGACATCCCCAGCCCCTCCTCTGTCTCTGTCCTGTTAGGAGCAGGGAGGCTCCGTGCCCTGGGGATGCCTGTCTGGCTAGGAGGAGCACAGCCCTGGGCCCGAAGCCCTGCCCCAGCCTGAGCCCCACTCTGTCCCCAGCCCCAGCAGGAACCGAGACAATGGCCTCGAAGCCAGGGAAGAGGGTCGCCTCGTCTGTCTTTATCACGCTGGCCCCCCCGCGGCGAAACATGGCAGTGGCCGAGGAAGTGAAGCGGACGGCTTGTGAGGCCCGGCCTGGCCGCCCCTGGGAGCCCCCTGCTGCCGTGAAGGCGCCCGGGGCTGGCTCGGCAGGGAGGCCCAGCCCTTGGACCCCCCCTGCCAGGGCGGCAGCCACCATGCCAGCCGTACCACCTCAGCTCTCCAACGGAGGTAAGAAGGTGAGGGGACTGGGCAGGAGGCTGGGTCAGAGGCAGCGCGGAGGTGGGGAGGAAGGGACAGGCTCTGAGCTCATTCAGGTGTCCATTCATTCATCGAGCACCTACTGTGTGCCAGGCAGACTCAAGCCCGCCTGCCCGGGTTTGAATCCCGGCTCTTCCACTTGGCTGTGTGATGTTGGCAAGCCACGTACCTTCTCTGGCCAGTGGGCAAAGCAAGTGCAGAGGCCCTGAGGCAGGAATGGATTGGGCACGTTGGACCTCAAAGGTGGTTTTATTCTCTCTCAAGCTCTGCCATTCACTTGCTGTATGGTCTTAGGCGAGCTGGGTCTTTGCTTGGTTTCCTCCTCTGGAAAGTGGAAATTTGGTCATGTATGTGATGCATCCATCACAGAATGGATATGCTTCATACATGGCTGTTCCTTTACCTTGAGCTTGGCTCTGCTGTCATGGTGTTGAAGAGTCTTGGAGACTCCACTCCATGGAGTCTTAGCTGTTGGTTGGGTAGAAACGAGGAAGGAGGACAACCCTGGGGCAGGGGGATGGCTTGCCGTACAGGACACCAAGTGGAATAAGGAGGCACAGAGACATCAAGGACGAGCCCCCTGATGTCCCCCGGGTGCCGAGTTGGGTGTCCTGCTATCCTTGAGCAAGGTTAGGGTAGCCCTGTGCATCCCCATCACCGCAGAAACCACCTAAAGACCAATAGGAACTGCCAATTCCAGGAGGCCAGAAAAGGGCAGGAGAAGGGGCCACGTGTATACACACGTGGGAATACATGGACATTCATGTAACAGGCCTCTTCATGTGACACAACCTTGCAAACTCATCTTTCCTTCCTAACCACGCATCCCGAGAACACAACCTCCTCCAGGTGCTTCCATATAGAACCAGGACCACGAGGACCAGAATTCACACAGCAGGACGTGTGATCCAGTGGAAAAAAATGACGTCCCTTCTGGGTAGGAGAGGGAGTCCAGGATATATAGTGTAGATGCCCCTAATGCCAACATTTCCAGGACACTTTCATGGGTTATTGGAATATCAGAAGATCCCGGGAGCGTGATAACAAAAGTGGACCTTCCCTGGGAGGGGGCGCCCAGCAGTGGCTGGTCAGCTGGTCCGCCATTTTGTCCTCCAATTTGGCCCATGGGCAGAGCTCAGGGAATCTTGGGGTTCAGCCTCGCTTGAGTGAGACAAGTTCCAGGCGAGCAGCTTGGGCCTGAGTCTGGTCTGACCACAGAGCACAGAGCGGGCCCTGGGGCCCTGCCAGTTGCTTAGACCCATCTCAGCTGCAGGCTGTCATATGACACCCCAGCTAGAGCTTGTCCCCTCAGGAATCCACACACTTTTTTTTTTGGCCCTTTCATCCTGACAGAGGTCCCCACCTTTCCCTCGCTC